AGATGAGGATAGAGTGTGTCTGCAGGGGGGATGTGCAGATATGTAAAGATGAGGATAGACTGGGTCTGCAGGGGGGATGTGCAGATATGTAAAGACGAGGATAGAGTGGGTCTGCAGGGGGATGTGCAGATATGTAAAGATGAGGATAGAGTGTGTCTGCAGGGGGATGTGCAGATATGTAAAGATGAGGATAGAGTGTGTCTGCAGGGGGATGTGCAGATATGTAAAGATGAGGATAGAGTGTGTCTGCAGGGGGATGTGCAGATATGTAAAGATGAGGATAGAGTGGGTCTGCAGGGGGATGTGCAGATATGTAAAGATGAGGATAGAGTGTGTCTGCAGGGGGATGTGCAGATATGTAAAGATGAGGATAGAGTGGGTCTGCAGGGGGATGTGCAGATATGTAAAGATGAGGATAGAGTGGGTCTGCAGGGGGATGTGCAGATATGTAAAGATGAGGATAGAGTGGGTCTGCAGGGGGGATATGCAGATATGTAAAGATGAGGATAGAGTGGGTCTGCAGGGGGGATGTGCAGATATGTAAAGATGAGGATAGAGTGTGTCTGCAGGGGGGATGTGCAGATATGTAAAGATGAGGATAGAGTGGGTCTGCAGGGGGATGTGCAGATATGTTAAGATGAGGATAGAGTGGGTCTGCAGGGGGATGTGCAGATATGTAAAGATGAGGATAGAGTGGGTCTGTAGGGGGATGTGCAGATATGTAAAGATGAGGATAGAGTGTGTCTGCAAGGGGGATGTGCAGATATGTAAAGATGAGGATAGAGTGTGTCTGCAGGGGGATGTGCAGATATGTAAAGATGAGGATAGACTGGGTCTGCAGGGGGGATGTGCAGATATGTAAAGATGAGGATAGAGTGGGTCTGCAGGGGGTCAGATATGTAAAGATGAGGGGTGTGTCTGCAGGGGGATGTGCAGATATGTAAAGATGAGGATAGAGTGTGTCTGCAGGGGGATGTGCAGATATGTAAAGATGATGAGTGTGTCTGCAGGGGGATGTGCAGATATGTAAAGATGAGGATAGAGTGGGTCTGCAGGGGGATGTGCAGATATGTAAAGATGAGGATAGAGTGTGTCTGCAGGGGGATGTGCAGATATGTAAAGATGAGGATAGAGTGGGTCTGCAGGGGGATGTGCAGATATGTAAAGATGAGGATAGAGTGGGTCTGCAGGGGGGATGTGCAGATATGTAAAGATGAGGATAGAGTGGGTCTGCAGGGGGATGTGCAGATATGTAAAGATGAGGATAGAGTGGGTCTGTAGGGGGATGTGCAGATATGTAAAGATGAGGATAGAGTGTGTCTGCAAGGGGGATGTGCAGATATGTAAAGATGAGGATAGAGTGGGTCTGCAGGGGGGATGTGCAGATATGTAAAGATGAGGATAGACTGGGTCTGCAAGGGGGATGAGTGAGTAATTCCCATTACGTGTCTGACGCTGCTTCCAGGGGCATTTGGAGGTGATGATGCTTTTATACAGGGCATTAGAATCTATGACAGTGACCTTGCAGAAATACAACTGGAGTTCATCTGCACACATTTTGTCTTCCGGGGATAGAGACAGGCAGTCAGGCATGACACATTTCACACTGACTAAAAGCAAATCCTGAAAAGACATTGAACATTCTCTACAACAGGGCGTGTCACGTTACTTTATGTGTCCGGCTATTTTAAGGGCAGGGGAAATTAATGCATGACTCACACAATCTTTAAAAGGGGATATCATTCTTTTTCTATAATTACATGCATTCTGATTGCAGAAAAATTAGGATGTGGGCACACACAAGGTGCAGCATATATTCATAAAAATAACCCCCTCGCCAAAAAACAGTCAATTACAGCGAGAACATGACACACGTTTGGCTCATAGGCAATGCAGAGGTATGACAACTTTCCTGAAGATTTAACCATTTATTTTGTTCTACTGTTCTGACTGTCAGACGATTCAAACAGAGCCTTGGGTGCAAAGTATTGGAAAGAAGGACATTAACCATATATTTTACACTGGATTATGCATCAGACGATTTCGAAAGTGGTGGTTGTGTCATTATATGGATCAGTTTAGATCAGGTAATACGCTTTGACCAGGAAGACAGTGAAACACCGGTTTGCTTGCTGTTGCTATGCAAAATGACAATATTTCCCAAAACATTTGCACACATTGTAGAACAATAAAGAATCCCACCCTTCATCCCTGTGTCTCTATTTGTCTCTCACTTGCACTGAAGGAAAAAGACCAGTCCCCTCTCAACACAAATGCATTATTCTTTGAAAACATTGGCACATGCCAAAGACACTAGGGGAATTCCTATGCTAAAGTAAGCACCCAGCAGAGCTACGCTGGGAATGAAGAACAGCTTCTTGTGTTCAAACTTGGAATGTAGAGCATCTTCCCGTGTTCAAACTTGGAATGTAGAGCAGCTTTCCGTGTTCAAACTTGGAATCTAGAGCAACTTCCCGTCTTAAAACTTGGAATGTAGAGCAGCTTCTCGTGTTCCAAAATGGAATGTAAAGCAGCATCTCGTGTTCCAAATTGGAATGTAGAGCAGCTTCTCGTGTTCCAACTTGAAATGTAGAGCAGCATCCTGTGTTCCAACTTGGAATGTAGAGGAGCATCTTGTGTTCCAACTTAGAGCTTTAATATGCTGTGAGCTCTCTGCACTCAGAATGTTAATCAGAAACAGCTTGTGTTCTGTTCCTACATTGTTTTCACCAGAGATTCAAGATGCAGCATTCCTGGATACTCGCATTCACATTCCCAACCAGGAGGACTGACACTCTGCAGAAAACAGACAGGAAATTGACATTGTTGTTCCATCTTAGCTGACCTTCCTAAAGCTTTTGCCGGAACAGAATGACCGTACTTAGTAGTTCAGAAGAACAAATCTTGTGATAAAAATGTGATGGAACATAATCTGATCTCTGTGTTGTGTATTTGTCAAGCTGTTATTTTATGGAAAGTACATTAAGGCATAAGAGAGTGTAGGCCAAATGTCAGGCCTGGACCGAATACTGACACAATCCTTTCAAGAACGAGTGAGGCCATGGTGTAAAGTGTCCATTCAAGTGAGGCCATGGTGTAAAGTGAGGCCATGGTGTAAAGTGTCCATTCAAGTGAGGCCATGGTGTAAAGTGAGGCCATGGTGTAAAGTGTCTATTCAAGTGAAGCCATGGTGTGAAGTGTCCATTCAAGTGAGGCCATGGTGTAAACTGAGGCCATGGTGTAAAGTGTCCATTCAAGTAAGGCCATCGTGTAAAGTGTCCATTCAAGTAAGGCCATGGTGTAAAGTGTCCATTCGAGTCAGGCCATGGTGTAAAATGAGACCATGGTGTAAAGTTTCCATTCAAGTTTCTACCCAGTATTCATGTGGATTAGTCACAGACCACAGTCTTTAGTAGTGTGATGGGCAAAATCTATGTGAGTTATAGTGATATTTGCGTTAAAAAGTCTAGAAAGTCGTTAGAAAGTCTCCTGAATGTACTGAGGAGATTGTACCATAGCAGTAGTCATGGCAACGCAATAAACACAACATATGTTGGCGTTTGGGAGTCATCAAGGTTAAACAAAAGAATGCATCAATCATGGTGCATTATGGGACGCCACCAGGGTCACCTTGTTTCTGTAAATCCGGTCAATTATAACCTCAAGGATATTTTCCGTAATAAAAATCGGTGAAATATATGAATACTGAGTAATGTCTGGTTATGCAATAATTACACACGTTAAAGATCCCTGACTAGCAGTGCAATGACAGGTCTCAGACACCCATGGACGCGCACGCACACAAGCACACAAACACACACACGCGCACACAAACAGCGTTAGCACCGTACAGCCTGCTCATGCATTCGACTGATAAAATTCAAGTGCCACAAATCCCCAGGGACTGACATGGTTAACATCTGGTGTTTGTAGTGTTCTCACCATTAAAACCAAACGTCAACATGGACAGGGCTCATATTGGAATCTATTAAAGGATGTTTCTGTTTATATGCCCTTATTATGGACATAAATGTCCGAATGAATCAAAGTGCTTCTAACGAGTGTAAAAGGAAAAACAACAACTGAGCGGGAGGGGGATGATTGTTTGGTGTGTCACAGACAGGCAGTGGGAAAGACGTGTAGAGGAACCTGATCGTGAGTCTCTGGCTCTATTCTGACAGCTTTTCTGTGAGAACAAGTAGCACATGTAGGGGGTTTCAGGACGCAACGAGACTAATGATAACTGATCGAATAAGTGGCACCTCCGGGTCCTGGTTGTTGACAGCGTAAGAGGTTGCGGGAGGACAGGCTGACGTACTGGCTTGCTCAAGGTCAAATGAAAGTCAGGAAAACTGACCGGGGGAATATGGGTTTTGGTGGTTGAAGCCGGGCAACGGGCCAAGACCTAGCTGCCTTTTAAACATCCACCTCTCTCTGACGTCTGCAGTCTGTTAAACTACCACACTCACGCGATTGTTTTCTAATCCTAATTGTTTGCCATGTTCGTCACTTGAACACGCGGCACACAAACCACAAATCAACTAGAAAATAGCAAAGTGTCTCTGTACTTTGCGTTGTGACGCCTCTCCTTGAGGAACAGACATCTAAAGCAGTACAAAACAGAAGCAGCCAAGAGGAGAGGACAGTACCAGAAGCTTCTGGTCAGTCTAACAGACACTCACACTAAAGCACACAGCCACTCTCTACTGGAATACCATGACAACATCAAATGTGGCTGTTGTACATCAAGTAACCAAAGTGATCCAATGTGTTGTGTTTTTAATACAGCCTATTAGGTCGGTGTGGCATGCGTGTTGGCATTTGGGTAATTACAGCGGGATGTTACCACAGCCAAATGGGCATGTTTACTGTTCACTTAATGGCATGAACCCCTTTGTTGAGGAAGGGATTGCTTCCAAACACTAAACCGTATTTGCCTTTAGACATATTCACATATGAATGTCAACTTTAACAACACAGGATCCTACATGGAGTCAGGCGTTGGCGTAGCTCAGTGGTACAGTGCGTGCTTCGTATGTACGATGTCCTGGGTTCCATTCCCAGCTTCTCCCCAGGTCGCTGTTGCAAATGAGAAAATGTTCTCAATCGGCGTACCTGGTTAAATAAAGGTTAAATAAAAAATTAGAAGGAGATGTGAGCCAGAGACTAAAGTAACAGCCACCGGAAAACATGTTTGTGTTCTCTTACTTTAAGCGAAAAAGTAAACACATAGGGGGACTAACAATAACATAACGACTGTTCTCTGTTACCAGACAGGTAATCTCAACCCACTGAGGAGATGGAGGTGTGTTCTTTCCACACTCACAATTTCTGTTAATGTGATTTCATGTGCCACTACAGTTGGCATGGGCGTAAGCTACAGCTGGCATAAGCTACAGCTGGCATGGGCATAAGATACAGCTGGCATGGGCATAAGCTACAGCTGGCATAAGCATAAGATACAGCTGGCATGGGCATAAGCTACAGCTGGCATAAGCTACAGCTGGCATAAGCTACAGCTGGCATAAGATACAGCTGGCATGGGCATAAGATACAGCTGACATGGGCATAAGATACAGCTGGCATGGGCATAAGCTACAGCTGGCATAAGCATAAGATACAGCTGGCATGGGCATAAGCTACAGCTGGCATAAGCTACAGCTGGCATAAGCTACAGCTGGCATAAGCTACAGCTGGCATAAGCTACAGCTGGCATAAGATACAGCTGGCATGGGCATAAGATACAGCTGACATGGGCATAAGATACAGCTGGCATGGGCATAAGCTACAGCTGGCATAAGCATAAGATACAGCTGGCATGGGCATAAGCTACAGCTGGCATAAGCTACAGCTGGCATAAGATACAGCTGGCATAAGATACAGCTGGCATAAGATACAGCTGGCATGGGCATAAGATACAGCTGACATGGGCATAAGATACAGCTGGCATAAGCTACAGCTGGCATAGACATAAGCTACAGAGGATAGAGAAAACCAGGGAGGGCAGTGAATATGGGAAGTTAGGCATTTTGCTGTAAAGATAAAGTGGTTCTGAGGTTTTGTAATTCTATTAAAACAAATATCTCCCCTAAACATAACCCTTACCTTAGACTAATTCATTAACTTAACTTCTGATAAAGCTTTTCAAAGTGAGGAAAGGACAAGTTACAGTTGAATGATTTTCCTTGTAGTACTTATGTTGTAAAGATCTTAGTAAACCCGGACAAAACCTCAAAACTTTCCCATGACATGACCTTGTAGTCATAAGTTTCCATCGTCAGTCCACAGTAATTACCTCAGTAATAATAGTGTTTAGTGTTGTGAAAGTAGTGTTTTCTGCGCTCATCTATTTACAGTTGATTATCCTAACACAACACACCCATAATCATCAGTGTGCAAAATATATACTTTTCAGAACCCAGTTAAATTTTTCAAACCATGTAGTATTTATATCCCAGTCAGTTTAGGCAAGTTCACTTATATAAACCATGTACACTAATGAGCCACACCATAATGACCTAATATGCTGTTTGTCCTCCACATGCCGCCAAAACTGCTGAGGCATGGACTCTACAAGACCCCTGAAGTTGTGCTGTGGTATCTGGCACCAAAACATTAGCAGCAGAGTCTTCATCCTCTGATGCTTAATTCGATTAAGATCCGGGGAACATTCAGAGATGTTCTGACCCAAGCTTCTGACCATAACAAGTTGGTCTTTACTCCGGCCCGTTTCTCCTGCATCCACACGTTGACTATGAGAACTGATATTTTCAAATCTTCTAATCTTCCCATAACTTGGTCTGTGCCCTTATTAGGAGGTGACCAATGTTATTCGCATCACCTGCGAGAACCTGAGCTGGATACATTGCAGTGTACATTTCAAGCCCTAGTCAGTTTCATCTAGTTCACTTACTCAAGGACAGACAGAATAAAAATAACTTGTTAATCGATATAAATTCTCTGCATTGGTATTAGAGCCACCGACACAAAGAACAGAGATGACAGGCTATGATTTTTCAAGGCTGATACCAATTAATAATTCGACAAAAAATGAATTCAGTTTAGCGATTGTTTATTCAATGTAATGAAATGCCCCAACATATGTTTCTTTATAGTTCCCCATTAATGACAAGTAATTATTATTGTTGTGAATAGGCGGGTGAGCAGGGGATGTATGTTACACCTTTTCACACCCAATAATGAATAAATAGATGTTCTAAATTAGCAATAATGAATTAATTATTGAAACAGACTGCCCTGGCTATTCCTAATTAAGAGTGTTTGCGATTGGTGTCAGGTTAAATTTGCAAGAAAACATACAGACGCAGAGACATAACCAACACAGGGACATCTGTAACCTACATATTGACATAGAAAGTGACCTCGGTAATTGACTCAGTAGTGTTGACTGGAAGGTGATAGGTCACAGGTTTACGAAACAGTCATAAATAACATATGTCCAAGAAGTTTCCTATGTAAGGCAGAGACTTGACAGATCTCTGTGTGACTCCACCTGGCAGACTACCACCTGGCAGACTCCACCTGGCAGACTCCACCTGGCAGACTCCACCTGGCAGACTCCACCTGGCAGACTCCACCTGGCAGACTCCACCTGGCAGACTCCACCTGGCAGACTCTACATGGCCTTTAATAACATCAGTGGAGTGAGACAGCGGTCTTGGTACCCCGGCAACACCATTGACCAGTCAGTCACAAGACATTTTGTAACTTACACATTAAATAGACTACTTTTCTGAGCTACTCAAACACTCCCTATGGGAGGTAGAAGCCTGGCAACATCGAAAATATGCTTGGGAGAGAAATTCTCCGCATTAAGTCATAGGTCTGCAGGCCTTGGTAAGCCTTAGCTGCTGTGACACTAAGCACAGGGAGAAGCTGCTTTAGCGTTTATGGCTGATGGCTTCAGAGCGATTAACACAACTTCAGGAACTGTTTGTGTCTGCCTGTTTGACCAATCGCGAAGTCTAAACATCAGCTACTCATTAAAACGTGTGTCAGCATTCACATGACCGAACCACGCATAAACACAAACCGAGCCTTATCTCTACAGGCTCACACTGCCATATCTTCTAACAGACAGTCCAGATTCCCGAATCTTCTACATCTGCTATCTAAAATGATTAGCATAGTTAAAGACGACGGTGAGGGAAGCAACCAGATCGGCCAGAGCAGCCAAGTAGCGGAGCAGACGGCGAAGAAATATTAAACACGTAGATGTGATCAGAGGATTAATGATCAATCGCAGACAAACTTTCCTGATCACAGACTATTGACGGGGTCAATCCACTGTGATCCAATGATTAAAGTCCACTGTCTGTGTTTTTATCCCAGATAACAGCATATCTTCTCTAAACGTGTTCCACCTTTTTATATATTTTTGAAAGGCAAAGGCTTACAGACTTTTTTGCCACCCACAGGCACAACTCTGTCAGCAGTGCTTGCTCTTTTAGATGTGTGTTATGTACTCAATGTGTGTGTTAGTGTGTGTGTGTGTGTGTGTGTATGTGTGTGTGTGTGTGTGTGTGTGTGTATAGCTAAAAAGCATTGTAGTAAGTATTGCATCATATTGGATATAATATGACTGGTATAAAGTGAGCAAGTCTCTTTTTCCAGATATCACATGAAAAGACTCTTAACCAAACAACACATCAGGAGTTTATATGTGTGAGTGTGCCAAGTTATTGCTCTTGCACCCCAAGTTGACATATCTCAATACAAAAGCTCAGACTTGTTGTTGTTTATTGGCTTGATCTAATATTCAACATTTGAAAAAGCAAACGCTAGTTGAGATATAACTGCTAGAAGATACATTTTTCTTTACGGCAATATTAAGATATTTAAAATAACAAAAACTGTTATAAACCTGTGACTGTGGTTGACCAGTTGGTCGTTCCTACTACCTCTTGCCTACACGCTGCTAACTGATTTATCTGATCTGCCATTTGCACAATACATCCTGTGGTACTCCTCTTGCTCTGTACACTTCTAGCCTATTTATTATATTTGCCTTCTGCACAATGCTCATCGTTTGTACCATATATTTACCATTTGCACAGATGTTCTCCGCTGGTGTTGCCCTCTGCACATTTGCAATTTCCTACATTGTTGAATTGAATACCTGCACATTTACTCATCCACATCAATTGCACATCCTCACACTGTACTCCATATGTTTTTGCACTGCTCTTTTGCACTTCTGGCTGGATGCAAACAGCATTTCGTTGTACTGTACTTGTACTGTCCAATGACAATAAAGTTGAATCTAATCTAATCTAATGCACTCAATCTGGCTTGCACCATATCAGCTGTCATTTCCCACTTTCCTATCTGAAAAATAATAAAGCATGACAACAGGTATATTTTGCCCTAATGCACAGTGGAGAAGATTGTGTGAGAACCTATAAGAAAATTGCCGAATTGATATTGGCTATACCAAGCGTCTATAGATAACTACAGAAAGCTGAACATTCCTCCAACTTAAATTGGAACTGCGCTTGGTGTATACATACAGATGGTCACGCATGAAAAACTGTAAAGAATGGTGGTGAATATGTGGTTTTGTGTGCCCATTTTGGCTCTGGGAACCCGAGGTGGATAATCATTGTTTTTAATATAATTTTTTGCTAATCTTAACCGGGATATCTAAAAACCTGTGTGTATAGCCGATACAATTTAATTTGCTTTACTCACAGTGTCTATATAATCTTAGATCTGACAGCAAACAGCATGGAACACAACATAGCTCTTTATCCTACATCTGCTCAGGCTGGACTGCAGAGACTGTGTTTAAATCGACATGGCGTCTCCGCTAGTCTAATGAAGGGGCAAAACAACCAAACAACCCTTTATTACACAACAAGAAAATACAGTCTCACATTAAACACAGACTGGTCGGATATAAAACGTTGTTATTCACGCAGTTTCGTGGAATTTCTTTGAGGAGTATAGGCAGCCCCAGGAGAACAAGCCTACTAAAATCAGATGTTTTGTACTACTTCTAGGAGTGTGTATGTTGTCCTACCTTGGCCTCCTGACTGGTGAACACCTCAAC